TTTTTAATTTGCCAGATTTTTAATTCCCGGTTTTAGATTTTCTGTTTTTCAATTGTCGGTTTTTCAATTCTTCGGTTTTTAAATTTTAGATTTTTCAGTTTTTTGATATTTTAATTTTTCAATATTTAAAATTTTAGATTTTTCGATTTCTCAATTTTTCATTTCAGTTCTTCGATATTTAAATTTTTCAAGTTTTCGAATTTTTCAAATGTTTCGATTTCTTAATCTTTTGATTTTTCGACTTCCCGGTTTTAGATTTTCTGTTTTTGAATTGTCATTTTATCAAATTTTCGATTTTTTAATTTTTCAAATTTGACATTTATAAACTCTCAATTTTTCAATTAATCGATGTTTTGATTTTCCCATTTCTTGACCTTCCAGTGTTTCGATTTTCCTGTTCTTCAATTCTTTAATTTTTTGACTTTTCAGGTTTTTGATTTTTCAATTTTTCGATTTTTTAAGGTTTCTATTTTTCGACTTCACTTTTCGATTTTTCGATTTTTCAGTTTTTAGATATTTCAGGATTTTTCAATATTTCAATTCTCGGCTTTTCTATTTTTGACTTCTGGATTTTTCAATGTGTCTACCTTATTACTTTTTCGATGTTTCAATTTTTGGATTTTTAAATTTTAAATTTTTCAATCTTTTGATATTTTAATTTTTCAATATTTCTTAATCTTTCGATTTTTAGATGTTCTGTTTTTCAATTTTTCGATTTGTTAATTTTTCATTCCCAATTTATCGAGATTTGATGTTCAGGTTTTCGATTTATCAGTTTTTCAATTTTTTATTTTGGCCTATTTCGGTTTCTCAGTTTTTCCAGCTTTCCATTTTTTCGTTTTTTGATTTTCCGCTCTTCCAATTTTTCAACTTTTAACTTTTTGTTTGTCGATTTCTCTATTTTTCGATTTTTCGGCTTCATCACTTTTCGATTTCTCGTTCTTTTGATCTTTCAATCTCTCAATTTTTCTGTTAGTGCCTCTGGCGGGGACCTGTTTCACCCCTCTCCACCCGTAAGGGTGGGAGCCAGGGCCACCACCACCTTCCAATACAGGGAGCATTATTCACTATTCATCATTCACTCTTCAAGCACTCTTCAAGCGGTTAACATAGTCTTTATATTCAATCTCTGGACCTAACGGTCATAATATCATACTCGCTCTAGAACACACTTGTTATTTATTTAATAAAACTATAAAACGACTGTCCGCTGCTCTTATTCATCATCCATCAAACTTAACATTTTCAATATTTAAAATTTTAGATTTTTCGATTTCTCGATTTTTCATTTCAGTTCTTCAATATTTCAATTTTTCAAGTTTTCGATTTTTTCAAGAGTTTCGATTTCTTAATCTTTTGATTTTTCGATTTCCCGGTTTTAGATTTTCTGTTTTTCAATTGTCATTTTGTCAAATTTTCGATTTTTTAATTTTTCAAATTTGACTTTTATAAACTCTCAATTTTTCGATTTTTCGATTAATCGATGTTTTGATTTTCCCATTTCTTGACCTTCGAGTGTTTCGATTTTCCTGTTCTTCAATTCTTTAATTTTTTGATTTTTCAGGTTTTTGATTTTTTAATTTTTCGACTTCACTTTTTTGATTTTTCGATTTTTCAGTTTTTAGATACATATTTCCCTTTTAGAATTTTTCAATATTTCAATTCTTCGGCTTTTCTATTTTTGACTTCTGAATTTTTCGATGTGTCTACCTTATTACTTTTTCGATTTTTCAATTTTTTGCATTTTTAAACTCTAGATTTTTCAATCTTTTGATATTTTTTTCTTAATCTTTCGATTTTTCGACTGCCTGGTTTTAGAGGTTCTGTTTTTCAATTTTTCGATTTGTTAATTTTTCATTCCCGATTTATCGAGATTTGATTGTTCAAGTTTTCGATTTCTCAGTTTTTCAATTTTTTATTTTGGGCTATTTCGGTTTTTCAGTTTTTCCAGTTTTCCATTTTTTCGTTTTTTGATTTTTCCGCTTTTCCAATTTTTCAACTTTTAAATTTTTGTTTGTCGATTTACTTAAGTAACAAAACACAAGGGGTTCACGAGATTTTTCCAAATTATTTCAAAAACTAGTGAAGGTATCCTCAAGATCCTTTCAATATAAGTTTGGACTCAATTTTTCGATTTTTCAAATTTGAATTTTTTCGAATTCTTGCATTTGTAATTCAATTCAATTTTTCTTTTTTCAGTTTTTTGAATTTCCAGTTTTTCCGACTTTGAATTTTTCGATATTTTAACTTTTCATCTCTTCAATTTTCGATTTTTCGACTTCGGAATTTTTTGGAGTTTTCCGATTTTATAGTTTTTCTTTATTTTCAATTTTTTCATTTTTCAGATTTGCTGACTTTTAATTTTTGGTTTTTTCAATTTTTGACTGTCGGTTTTTGGAGTATTCAACTTTTAAATTTTTAATTTTTTCAATTTTTCGACTTCTGAATTTTTTTTAATTTTGCGATTTACATTTCTTCAATTTTACAATTATCGTTTTTCGAAATTTTCAATTTTCAGTTAGTCTATTTTTAATAACTCAATTTTTTCAAAGTTTCGTTTCTTTCAATTGGATTTTTCAATTTTTTGATTTTTATTTTTTTCAAATTCTTCGGTTTGCAGTTGCAGCATTTTACAATTTTGCTTTTTTCAATTTTTATTTTTTTTAATTTTCTATTTTCACTTTTTCGTATGTTCAGCTTAAAATTTTTCAATTATTCGATTTTTCGACTTCGGAATTTTTTGAAATTGTTTGACTCGCAGTTCTTCGATTTTACAGTTTTTTTGTTTTTTCAATTTACAAGTTTTCTAATGTCCAGTTTTAAATTTTCATTTTTTAAAGTATTCAGTTTCTCGATTTTTCAGTTTTTCGAGTTTTGAATTTTAATTTGTTCAATTTTTGGGCTTTCATATTTCATTTTTTAATTTGCCAGATTTTTAATTCCCGGTTTTAGGTTTTCTGTTTTTCAATTGTCGGTTTTTCAATTCTTTGATTTTTCAATTTTAGATTTTTCAGTTTTTTGATATTTTAATTTTTCAATATTTAAAATTTTACATTTTTCGATTTCTCAATTTTTCATTTCAGTTCTTCAATATTTCAATTTTTCAAGTTTTCGAATTTTTCAAGAGTTTCGATTTCTTAATCTTTTGATTTTTCGACTTCCCGGTTTTAGATTTCCTGTTTTTCAATTGTCATTTTGTCAAATTTTCGATTTTTTAATTTTTCAAATTTGACTTTTATAAACTCTCAATTTTTCGATTTTTCAACTAATCGATGTTTTGATTTCCCCATTTCTTGACCTTCGAGTGTTTCGATTTTCCTGTTCTTCAATGCTTTAATTTTTTGATTTTATCAGGTTTTTGATTTTTCAATTTTTCGATTTTTTAAAGTTTCTATTTTTCGACTTAATTTTTTTGATTTTTCGATTTTGCAGTTTTTGGATATTTCAGTTTTAGGATTTTTCAATATCTCAATTCTTCGGTTTTTCTATTTTTGACTTCTGGATTTTTCGATGTGTCTACTTTATTGCTTTTTCGATTTTTCAATTTCTGGATTTTTAAATTTTAGATTTTTTAATCTTTTTATATTTTAATTTTTCAATATTTCTTAATCTTTCGATTTTTAGATGTTCTGTTTTTCAATTTTTCGATTTGTTAATTTTTCATTCCCGATTTATCGAGATTTGATTGTTCAGGTTTTCGATTTATCAGTTTTTCAATTTTTCGTATTTTGATTTTTCCGCTTTTCCAATTTTTCAACTTTTAACTTTTGTTTGTCGATTTCTCTATTTTTCTATTAATTGATTTTTCAGGTTTTTGGGTTTTTCAATTTTTATATTTTTTTCAGGTTTTGATTTTTCAACTTCACTTTTTTGATTCTTCGATTTCTCAATTTTTAAATTTTTTAATTTCTCAGTTTTTGGACATTTCAGTTTTGGAATTTTTCAGTTTACTTGTTATTCAACTTTTCGATCTTACGATTTTGCAGATTTTTGATTTTTTAATTTTTCGATTTTTTTAAGGTTTCGATATTTCGACTTCACTTTTTTGATTTTTCGATTTCTCAATTTTTTGATTCTTTGGATTCTCAGTTTTTGGATATTTCAGTTTTTCGATTCGTCAGTTTTTCTTTCATTTTTCAGTTTTTCGATATTTCAGTTTTGGGATTTTTCAATATTTCTGTTCTTCGACTTTTCCATTTTTGACTTTTGGATTTTTCGATGTGTCGACTTTTTACTTTGTCGATTTTTAAATTTTAGATTTCTCAATTTTTTGGCATTTTAATTTTTCAATATTTAAAATTTTTGATTTTTCGATTTCTCGATTTTTCATTTCAGCTCTTCCATATTTCAGTTTTTCAAATGTTTCGATTTCTTAATCTTTCGGTTTTTCGACTTCCCGGTTTTAGATTTTCTGTTTTTCAATTGTCGTTTTTTCAATTCTTCGATTTTTAAATTCTAGATTTTTCAGTTTTTTGATATTTTAATTTTTCAATATTTAAAATTTTAGATTTTTCGATTTCTCGATTTTTCATTTCAGTTCTTCGATATTTAAATTTTTCAAGTTTTCGAATTTTTCAAGTGTTTCGATTTCTTAATCTTTTGATTTTTCGACTTCCCGGTTTTAGATTTTCTGTTTTTCAATTGTCATTTTGTCAAATTTTCGATTTTTTAATTTTTCAAATTTGACATTTATAAACTCTCAATTTTTCAATTAATCGATGTTTTTATTTTCCCATTTCTTGACCTTGGAGTGTTTCGATTTTCCTGTTCAATTCTTTAATTTTTTGATTTTTCAGGTTTTTGATTTTTTTAAGGTTTCTATTTTTCGACTTCACTTTTTTGATTTTTCGATTTTTCAAATTTTTAAGTTTTTTGATTTCTCGATTTATCAAGATTTGAACTTTTCGATATTTTGATTGTCAATTTCTCAATTTATAAATTTTTAACTTTAGCATTTTTTCGATTTTCTGATGTTTTCTTATTGACATCGACTATTTAAATTTGGCGCTTGAGGACTCCAATGTCAACTGTGCTTTGCAAAATCAGCCCGTATGTCGCATCTACATTAATCTATGATTCTAGGGACTTTAAGACATCAACATAACCACACTTTTGCACCAAACAACACAAAAACTGACACTTATTTTTTATTTACGTTCATCAATTCGTAAATATGGACAACCTGGCTGAACAGTGCGAAGAAATCGAAGCCCTAAAGTCAATTTACGACAACAAGTGGAAACTAGAACCGGCGACGAACTGCTACTCCATACAGATCACCCCAAACGTGAAACTATTCATCACTTTGAATGAAAACTACCCGTCGACTGCGCCCCCTAATTTTGAGCTGCTAGCCCCCACGTTGACAGTCGATCAAAAACAACAAGTCACCGACGAGTTCCAGGAGATTTATGAGTGAGTTTATAGTAACACTGTATCTAATTTCCCTGTAGAAGTAATATGGGGGGACCTATTTTATTTCAGTGGGTAGAAAAGTTGAAAGAAATAGCGGAAATTGAAACTCCAGCTGCAGAAACTACGGAGTTAGAAACCAGTGACGTTGAATTAATAGTTTCCCCTGCACAAGTAACTCAATTGAGTGTGACACATGGTGAGGTTATTCAAGACCGAAAAAGCGCCTTCCAAGGACACGCGAGTCCGGTTTTTTCACTAGAAGACACAAAGTAAGTTTTATAAGTCGCTAATTAGGTGTAATTTGAATATTTCAAGGGTGTTTATTAATCATTTACTTGAGAATAAAAAAATTTCTCAAGCTACTCACAACATTGTGGCTTATAGAATATTAACACCGAAGGGTACAGTGTTGCAAGACTGTGACGACGATGGGGAATCTCACGCTGGAAGCAGGGTATTGCACTTACTACAAATTCGTGACTTAACTAACGTCATGGTTGTAGTTTCAAGATGGTAAGTATGACACTCATTCATTTTTTACTATGTTAATACTGAAAATTGCAGGTATGGGGGCATTCATTTAGGGCCAGACCGGTTCAAACACATCAACAATGCAGCAAGACAAGTACTCTTACAAGGAGGTTTTTTACAATCATAGTATAAACCAACAAAATGTATAAATTGTAAATACAAACTAAGCAATTATCTCTGCACTAGCTACCTTCTGTGTGCTGACTTTCCCCAAAGTGTTTAGTAACTGCTCATTGACAAGCAATTGTCTCTCTAAATTAAGTACAGCTTCTTTGGACAACTCCTCATCAGTTGTGTGAATGATTTGTCTGAAGTCCTCAGGCAATTCATCCATGTAAATCCGTCCGTCAAAGTCGTATACTTTCCTGAAAACTTGTGACGAAATTTCATAGATGTTGTACTCTTTGATTGGTTTTGTGCCAATTATGATTGGTATCCCTGGTGTGTCTATATTGGGGTACCCCACACAGCGATATCTCCTGAATGAACCCTGAACAGAAACCCAAACTTCGTAAATCGTTTGAATACAAAGCAACCTGTGGAACTGGTTGGTGGGATAGGTGTCCGCGTCTGTCTGCATGACGACGTAAAAGTCATGTTGACCTTTATGTATATTGACCATACGGGCGACGCGGCAAATATCAGTCCGGACTTTCTTTACAGTGGCAACAGGCGTGTCGCTCCTGCAAAATTTTGCGTCATTATTATTGTTTTTTTTTGTTGTTGAAGTCTAAGACCTGTAGAAGGCGTTTCTAATTTGCAGACCACAGTTTATCTTGCAGACTGGGGGTTAAAAATGCTCCAATCAAGTTGAAACTCAACATTTGCTTATTTCTCAATACGAAGATTATTGACACAAAATTTCAACCCGATCGGAGAAACCGTTAAAAACTACCCCCAAAACAACCTTGCAGACTGGCACTTAAAAATACTCTAATCAAGTTAAATTTTGACATTCGCTAGTTTTTCAATAGGAGGATTATTGATGCAAAATTTCAGCCCATTCAAAGAAACCCTCAAAAATCACCCCCAAAACAACCTTGCAGACTGGGGGTTAAAAATCCTTCAATCAAATCAAAACTCGATATTTGATTATTTCTCAATACGAAGATTGTTGATACAAAATGCTCCAATCAAGTTAAAACTCGATATTTGCTTATTTCTCAATACGAAGATTGTTAATACAAAATTTCAACCCGTTCGGAGAAACCGTTAAAAACTACCCTTAAAACAACCTTGCAGACTAGGGTTTAAAAATACTCTAATCAATTCAAAATTTGACATTCGCTAGTTTTTCAATACGAGGATTATTGATGCAAAATTTCACCCCATTCGGAGAAACCCTCAAAAATCATCCCCAAAATAACCTTGCAGATTGGGGGTAAAAAATGCTTCAATCAAATCAAAACTCGATATTTGCTTATTTCTCAATACAAAGATTATTGACACAAAATTTCAACCTGTTCGGAGAAACCGTTAAAAACTACCCTCAAAACAACCTTGCAGACTGGAGCTTAAAAATACTCTGATCAAGTTAAATTTTGACAATCCCTAGTTCTTTAATACGAGGATTATTGATGCAAAATTTCAGCCCATTCGGAGAAACCCTCAAAAATCACCTCTAAAACAACCTTGCAGACTGGGGGTTAAAAATGCTCCAATCAAGTTAAAACTCGATATTTGCTTATTTCTCAATACGAAGATTGTTGATACAAAATTTCAACCCGTTCGGAGAAACCGTTAAAAACTATCCCCAAAACAACCTTGCAGACTGGAGCTTAAAAATACTCTGATCAAGTTAAATTTTGACAATCCCTAGTTTTTTAATACGAGGATGATTGATGCAAAATTTCAGCCCATTCGGAGAAACCCGCAAAAATCACCCCTAAAACAACCTTGCAGACTGGGGGTTAAAAATGCTCCAATCTAGTTAAAACTCGATATTTGCTTATTTCTCAATACGAAGATGGTTAATACAAAATTTCAACCTGTTCGGAGAAACCGTTAAAAACTACCCCTAAAACAACCTTGCAGACTAGGGCTTAAAAATACTCTAATCAATTCAAAATTTGACATTCGCTAGTTTTTCAATACGAGGATTATTGATGCAAAATTTCACCCCATTCGGAGAAACCCTCAAAAATAACCCCCAAAACAACCTTGCAGACTGGGGGTAAAAAATGCTTCAATCAAATCAAAACTCGATATTTGCTTATTTCTCAATACAAAGATTATTGATACAAAATTTCAACCCGTTCGGAGAAACCGTTAAAAACTATCCCCAAAACAACCTTGCAGACTGGAGCTTAAAAATACTCTGATCAAGTTAAATTTTGACAATCCCTAGTTTTTTAATATGAGGATTATTGATGCAAAATTTCAGCCCATTCGGAGAAACCCTCAAAAATCACCTCTAAAACAACCTTGCAGACTGGGGGTTAAAAATGCTCCAATCAAGTTAAAACTCGATATTTGCTTATTTCTCAATACGAAGATTGTTGATACAAAATTTCAACCCGTTCGGAGAAACCGTTAAAAACTACCCCCAAAACAACCTTGCAGACTGGAGCTTACAAATACTCTGATCAAGTTAAATTTTGACAATCCCTAGTTTTTTAATACGAGGATGATTGATGCAAAATTTCAGCCCATTCGGAGAAACCCGCAAAAATCACCCCTAAAACAACCTTGCAGACTGGGGGTTAAAAATGCTCCAATCTAGTTAAAACTCGATATTTGCTTATTTCTCAATACGAAGATGGTTAATACAAAATTTCAAGCTGTTCGGAGAAACCGTTAAAAACTACCCCTAAAACAACCGTCAGTTGTCGACCCAAAGATAAGATCACAATAAAAAATGGTGATAAACTCACTGCAACGAAACCCAATCCAGTGGCGTCCCACACAGGAAATAAAACTGCCCATCCTGTGAGTAAATCAACTGAAGACGAAAAGAAGAAAGCCACGAAAACGGAGAATACATCACCCACAATTAAATCATCAGCACCAGATGACACAACAAGCGTAAAGTGGGAAACCGTATCACGTAAAAAGATAACCAAAAAGAAAGTAGTGTCTGTAGTAATAGGGAATAAAGAAGATGTTACAAAATCTTCTATTAAGGCTGCCCCCAAAAAAGGATTTATTTTTGTATCACGCCTGGCGCCAAATACAAAACCGACTGAAGTTTGCGAACTACTGAAAGGTGAATTCCCGGAAGTCCAATGTGAACAAGTGGAAACCAAATATCCTATGTTCTACTCTGCTTTCAAAGTAACAATTGACCTACACCGTTTCCAAGATGCAATGAATCCACAAATATGGCCCAATGGCAGCTATGTTACGCGATATTTTCACCGAAGAAGCCGACAGAAAAAATCCACTTAGCTGCCCATAACGCCTATGAGGACAACCCAGGTAAAAGGCTGATGAGCGAAACAGACAACAGCCATTCAAGTAGGAAAACCGCACTAGGAGTCAACTGGCTAAACCTTTTTTATCTAAATATACAGTCACTGCGGCGTAAAGTTAATGACTTAGAACTACATTTATCAGACAACCCACCTCATATTGTTTGTTTCAGTGAACACTGGTTAACGGCAGCCGAGGTGGAGATCTTAACACTACTTGACTATAAGGTGGCCAGTAGCTTTTGTCGCAAAAAAGGGTATGGTGGTGCTGCAATATTAATAAGACCAAATGTAAGGTATTCGGAATTAAATTTAGCATCCATATCTAAGCAAACGGTTGCTGAGGTTGCCGGCATCTTTCTAACGGAGTACAGGGTAAATATCATCACCATTTATAGACCTCCAGATGGTGATTTCGAAGAATTTCTGTACTTACTAAACCTACTCTTACTAAAACTAGACGATACGTGCTCCTTTTTAATTGGGGACTTTAATATACTTTTTAATAATCCTGACCATAAAGTCAAATCCTTTTTGGATCTTATAAATAGCTTTCACATGAGAACCTTAATCACAGAAAATACCAGAAAAACGAACTGCCTGGATAATATTGTTACTAACAGTAAAGTACCATATAAAATAAATATAAGTCACACTAGACTTTCTGATCACGATGCAGTCAGCCTTCAGCTGAACTGTATTAGCGTGTACCAGCAGAACGGAAAAACAACTACATACAGGCCCGTTACGCAAAGGGGTCTAAATCTGTTCCATAGCCAAATATCAGAAATAAATTGGGACCATATCATAAACATTACAGAGGCAGCAGACCTAGAACATAAATGGGATGAGTTTGTGACTATTCTTTCAAACGCGGCAATAAAATCATTTCCATTAAGAACCTTCAATAGCAGCAAGTATTCTACTACCGTGGTGCTAAATAAGAATCCTCAAATAATACGCTTAAAAAACATAGTTGAGTTATTTCACAATTTAAAGTCTCGTTTCCCAAACACTGCATTCTTCAAAACTGCTTTAAAAGACTATAAAAAACTTCTTAACAATAAAATAAATGAAATTAAAATGCACAACTGCGATCAGATCTTGACAAACTCTGTAAACGTACACAAAGCTGCTTGGAAAGTGATTAATGCTAACAGAAATCATGATCATTCCAATGTATATTCGGAAAATCTCAATGCAGAAGGTTTTAATAAATTCTTCATTGATAACATTAATCTACTCAAATCAAAGATACCAAAAAATCACGTGAATCTAAAGGACAAACCATTAAATCATGTTAATGTAAAATTTAATTTTAGTGAAATTACTCCCATTTATCTCAGAGAACTGATAGGCAAAATGAAAAATAAAACTAGTAAAGATTTGTACGAACTCAACATTATAATGATAAAATCTGTTATAAACTCAATCATAAGCCCTCTCACAAAAATGATAAATTACAGCATAAGATATGGTATATTCCCAAATTGTCTAAAAAAATCTAAAATTGTCCCAGTTCACAAAAAAGGTAATGTAGATGATTATAATAATTATCGACCAATTGCGATAATCCCTGTACTATCAAAAATCTTTGAGCAGGTTTTGAACAAACAACTAACTGATTTTCTGGTCAATAACAATATATTATTTACATCACAGTTTGGCTTTATAGCAAAGAAGTCGACTTCTATGGCAATTAACGAACTTGTTTCTTTTATCAGCGACGGTTTTGAAAATAAGGAATATGTCGGTATTACATTTTGTGATCTCTCCAAGGCGTTTGATTGTGTTGATCATAGTTTACTTGTCTCAAAACTAAGAAATATAGGTATAGCAAATTCATCTGTAACGCTCTTATCAAACTATCTATCCAAACGCTGTCAAACCACATTATATAATTCTCATTTGTCACAGTGCCAAATAACGACGTATGGCGTTCCACAAGGGTCCATTTTGGGACCCCTACTGTTTATAGTTTATATCAACAATCTACCAGCAGCAGTTGATGATGTTAATCTAATATTATATGCTGATGATACCACCCTAAGCACAGCTAACCGTAGATTAGCGACTGTGACTGGAAAGCTGGCCGCTGCACAATCAAATGCTCAGAACTGGTTTCATCGCAATGGCCTATATTTGAACAAAGACAAAACATCTACAATGATATTTTCCACGCGATATATTGGCATAGACAATCCTAACCACACTAAATTTCTAGGCATAACATTGGATACAACTCTCTGCTGGGAAGCTCATGTTGATGTCTT